ACCGCCCAGGGGTAGGAAATGAACAGGCTGGCCCCACCAATGATGGCTGGCTGGGGCTGCAGTCCCCCACCCACCCCCAGCTGGGGAGGCTTGGGGGGGCTGTCTGATGATGGAGAATGGGGGGTGGTAGATAAGAAAAGAGGAAGAGTCCAGAGGACACTTTCTCTTGTTCAACAGTTTATTTGGGGCTTCCCACCCCCACCCACGATCAGGAGGTCCCAGTGCTGCCAACTACCGCCGGAAACTGTTCTCTGGTAACCTCTTGGCAGGCCCCTCTCAGCCACCCTGGGAAGGCAGCATGAGGTCATAGAATTAGGGACATTCACGAGGAACTAGTTTTTTAAGATATTGCACTATCTCCCAGATCTCCGCCAGTGTCACTGGCAACAGAAATTCTTTCCTGAGAGCAGCCCCTGGCCCTGGACATCCTCCAGACCAGCCCTCAATCCACTGACAGCCCCTACCCCTTTTCTTTTCCAATTTTTTAAAAATTGGGATAAAATTTACAGAACATAAAATTTGCTATCTTGAGTGTTTGTTAGTGTACAGTTCAAAGGCCTCACGCACACTTGTATCATATGCAACCACGCCCACCGACCACCTCTGGCCTCTTCAAGCTTCCACATAGAAACTGTACCCATGAAACAACAGGTCCCCTTCCCCAATGCATGGGCTCATTCAGCAGGGCAAAGAATGAGAACATGCTCTGGGCTGGGTGAACTGAGCAAAAAAAAAAAATTCTTTTTGTAGTAGCGACTGAGCCCAGGGGTGCTTAACCACTGAGCCACATCCCCAGCCCATTTTATTTTTTATTTTGAGAAAGGGTTTTGCTAAATTGCTTAGGGCCTCACTAAATTGCTGAGGCTGGCCTTGAATTTAAAAATCTCCTGCTTCAGCCTCACGGAGTTGCTGAGATTACAGGCGTGTACCACGGTGCCTGGCTCTAAAGTCCAGTTTGTCTACTTTTTTTTGCCTTTGTCTTTGATGTCATGTCTAAGAAATTGCTGAGTTCAATGTTGCAAAAAATTTCCCTGCTTTGCTTTCTTCTAAGAGTTTTGTAGTTTTAGGTCTTACATTTAGGTGATCACCACTGTTTAAAAAAGACTGTCTTTCTGGGGCTGGGGGTATAGCCCAAGTGGTAGAGTACTTGCTCGGCATGTTCAAGTCCATGGGTTTATTTGGTTGTCTTTATGCCTGAGCCACGCTCTTGATTTCTAGAGCTTCGTTCTGTTTTGAAATCAGGAAGTGTGTGAGTCTTCCAGTTTTTTTCTTTTTTTTTTTTTTCAAAATTATTTTGGCTCTTTGGAGTCCCGTGAGACCTCACATAAGTTCTAGGAATGGATTTTTCTTTTTCTTATTGTTTGGAGGTACTGGGATCAAACACAGGGCCTGGCCCAGGCTAGGCAAGTGCTCTTCCACTGAGCTATACCGCCAGCCTGGGTGATTGACTGGTTGATTAGTGCTGGGGATTGAACCCAGGGCCTTGTGCATGAGGAGCAAGCACTCTATCAACTGAGCTATATTCCCAGCCCAAGGATGATTTATTTTTATTTCTGCAAAAAGCATTATTGGGCCGGGCACAGGGGCACATGCCTGTAATCCCAGCAGCTTGGGAGGCTGAGGCAGGAGGATCACGAGTTCAAAGCCAGCCTCAGCAAAAGTGAGGAACTAAGCAACTCAGTGAGACCCTGTCTCTAAATAAAATACAAAATAGGGCTGGGGAGGTGGCTCAGGGCTCCAGTGCCCCTGAGGTCAATCCCTGGTAAACACGCCCCCCCACAAAAAAAATCACTGGGATTTTGACAGAAATTGCATTGAATCTGTAGATCATCTGGGGTAGTGTAGACATCTTAATATTCAGTGTTTCAGTCTGTGAATATGGATGACTTTCCATTTATTTACACTTTTAATTTATTTCAGTGTTTGTCAGTTTTCATTGTATTAGGCTTTTGTCTCCTTGGTTAGGTTGATTTCGGGGTGTTTAATTATTTTTGATGCTCTTACATATGAAAAATGTTGTAGTGCAAATTTGAAGTAAGTAGATTTCTTTTCTCTGATAGTTCATTATTATTGTACAGAAATGTAACTGATTTTTGGTGTTGATTTCGTATCTGGTTACTTTGCTGGATTTATTAGTTATGACAACTATTTTGAATCCTTAGTCTTCCTCCTGTAAGGTCACATCATCTGTGAACAGGGGGAGTTTCACCTCTTCCAAGTTGATGCTTTTCGTTAGTCGTGTCTTTTTAAGGTTTTGGACCAAACTTTCAGTACCATGTTGAAGAGAAGTGACCCAAGTGGGCATCCTTGCTGTCCCTCCTCTTTTAAAATAACCCTTTTATTTTAGAACAGTTTTGGATTTACAGAAAAGTCGCAAAGATGGTGTGAGAATCCCCAGGTGCCCCATCTCTGGTCCTCTCTCATTACCACCTTCATTAGTTCTGGAACATTCTTTCAAAGGTGTGAGTGAATATGGACCATGCTATCATCAACTAAATAAAGTCCATACTTTTGAAAAATATTGAACCCAGTTTCTCACTGCTATGGTTCGACTCTGAGATGTTCCTCAAAGACTCAGGGGTCGAAGGCCTGGTCTCCGATGTGGCGGTGTCGGGGTGGGGGTCTTGGGAAGTGAGCACGAGGGCTCTGACCCCATCAGTGGGTTAATCTCTCGATGGGTTCATAGCAGATGGCATTGTTGAAAGGTGGCAGAGGGGCTGGGATTGTGGCTCAGGGGCAGAGCGCTCGCCTGGCACTGGCGGGACCCAGGTTCGATCCTCAGCACCACGTAAAAATAAAGGCATTGTGTTGTGTCCATCTCCACCTAAAATAAATACTAAAAAGAGAAAGAAAGGTGGGAGAGCCTTGTTGGAGGGAGTGGGTCTCTGGGGGCAGGCCCTGGAAGGGTATTTCCTGCTGCCCCATCCTGCAGACCCTTCCTTTTTCTGCTCTTGGTCACCAGGAGGTGAGTAGCTTTGCTCTAGAACCCCCTCCCCACCGTGATGTTCCGCCTCACCACAGGCCTAGAATCAGCAGAGTCAAGTGACTGTGGACTGAACCTTTCCTCCTGCTCGTTTATTTTCTCAAGTATTTTGTCATAGCAATGAGAAGCTGACTAACACACCCCCAGCGTCTTTTTTCTGTTCTAAGATCCCATATTACGTTTCCTTATCATGTCTTTTTAGATTCCTCCTGACTGACAAGGTTTCTCAGA